ATATCTTTATTCACAGCCCCAGGAAAGGAGGACATGACTTTTAGGACATAATAGGATTAACCCACTACCATCAGAATACCAAAAAGGCACACACAGGTCAAAATTCATGCCACAGGAACAACTCCAAACCAAAGACTCCAGAGGATATAAAAACTCACATGTGCTCATTCTCTTTCTTCCAGAGCCATCTTTCTGTCTGGCTCTCCTCTTCAATAAACTGCAACCTTCTTCCTAAAGCAGTTGCCATGTTGTTTATCCCCGGCTTGGACTGAACCATGATGAAGACTTTCCTTCAACACTATTCAAGTTATAATTCCTTATACAACGTATAATGCATCTGCAGCATTATATAGTCTGGCTACCACATTTGAGAAAAAAGTATATAATAAGGGGCATTAAAATTAGAGGAACCAAACATAGCTCTTTCAATAGAAACTGAGAGTATTTGGGATTCTTCAGGTTAAAAAAAAACTGCTGGCACCAACTTCACTGATTTGTGTAACATCACACATTGTATGGAAAAATGGAGAAAGAGGCATCTTATTGTCTTTTGACACATTAATTCCAGGAGCCTTCCAATGAAACTGATTGAAATAAGAACTAGAAGAGGTAAACTATACATATGGTGCACAAAAACCTTTAAGAATTCATCAGCTCAAGACATGGTGTGGGCTATTTATCTGGATGGTTTTAAAGAGGATTTTTTAAAATATAGATTATTCATAGAACTTGTATCTACTCAGGGCTATTGATCCTGAAGACTCAACTCACCCTCAGATTGGGGCAGCAAGCATTCAGATCCAGGAATGCAGAAGGGTAGCTTTTCACTTCCTATTTATGGGTACCACATAGATATTTGGCTTGCTACTGTGAATAACAAAATGCTTAGATTAAATGGTCCTTGGCTTGATCCAGCAAGCCTGTTTTTACAGATGAAGAGTGCTTTAGAGTTTTGGCTGAGCCAATTAAAATATATTGCCCAGGGATCTACTGTGAGCAAGTTACCATTCTATCTCTTTTTTAATTTTTTTTATTATTTTTCACCATACACCATACACCCAAACAAACTTAAAATACATAAACATAAATCTTTTCTTTTAACAGAACAGTACTATACATTTTAAGCATTCTTTACATCTTATTTACATTTTATGTACATCAATAATTATGTCTTTTCCTTTCTCTGTTCTAGCCAATTATAACATTTATTCCAAATTTCATAAAATTCTGTTGTCTCGTCTTTTAATTCTAGCGTAAGTTTATTCATTTCTGCGCATTCCAAGATTTTGTACATAATCATATCATTTGTGGGAATATTTTCACTCTTCTAGCATTGAGCATATGTTATACGGGCTGCAGTCAATATGTGTATAATGATATGTTGGAGTTGTTTTTCCATCTTTAAATTTATTATGCCCAAAAGAAATAATTCTGGTTTAAAATCCATTTGTATCTCCATTATCTCCTGTATCCAATCTCTTATTCGTTCCCAATAATTTTTTGCTTTGGGGCACAGCCACCACATGTGATAAAATGTTCCTTCTCTGATTTTACATTTCCAACACTTTGGGTCTATATTTTTATACATTTTAGCCAATCTCGCTGGTGTTAAATGCCATCTGTAAATCATTTTATATTGATTCTCTCTGTATGCAGTTGATAGCGTCAATTTGCAATTTATGTTCCATAATCTTTCCCATTCCTCTAAATTTATATTTCGCCCCACATTTCGTGCCCACGCTATCATTGGCCCCTTCACTATTTCTTCCTTTAACTCTATCTCTAATAGGTATTTATAAATTTTTGATAATAGTTTTCCTTCCTTACTTATTAGAATTTTATCAAGTTGGTGTGGGGTCTGACTAATTCCATGTTCTTGCCTATCCCTATTATATCTAGATTGAATTTGTAAATACGGCGACCAATCTATGGGTATTCTTTGTTCCTCCAACTCTTCTCTTGACTTGAGATTTCCTCGGTTAAAGTAATTCTTTATACCTAATCATCTTTTTTCTCTCTAATGTATTAGAATGAATCACTGCCTCCATCGGCGAGAACCAATTTGGAATTTTCCCATACCATCCTATCTCAACTGTTAGGATAGAGTGTAGTCCATATTTGATCTCAAGCTGGCAGTGTTCACATCTTTCTTCTTTCTTTGATCTTCTGCCTCAGTCTTGCTTCACCTGTGAGCAGAAGTCAGACATAATTGGATTTATATTTCCTGTGTGTACATCTATTGCCACTCAGTGGAAATCAAGCAGAACTGCAAAAAACATGATTTTGTGCTTTTATGATGTCTGCAAACTTAATGTCTGATAATAATTATTCAAGATCTACTTTTCAGTTATGGATGAGGCTGGCATTGCAACTTATCGAATAAAAGGGGAAAGAAAGAATCCTGTTTAACACTGCTGAGTAAAGAATAGGTATAATTAATCAAACAGATTGCAGACGAATCTGCTAAATGACCTACAATCAGTGCTCAAGAAGATTAAGAGAATTTCCTCTAATAACAAATGTAACATTTGACTTACAGCATTTTTTATGTTAATGATTATGGTCATTGACAAATATTTTATTGGACTACATATCTTAAAGAAGTAGCTTCAATTTTTATGCAGAAATAGGATTTTAAATATATCTGTACAAGAAGTTATTATGCTACTGCCAACTGCTATTTATGCATGTTAAGAGCCTGTTCTGGAAGCACCCAGATTCCAAATCTCAATTGTTCATTTCAACAATAAATTATGTTGTATCTACATATGTAGTTTAGCAAGGTACATGTATAGTTTAGCGAAGAATGTATCTCACTAGGGCAGTGATGGCAAACCTTTTAGAGACCGAGTACTCAAACTGTAACCCAAAACCCACTTATGCATTGGCGGGTGCTGGGTGGGTGTGGCCCATTGGGTGGGTGTGGCTGCGGTGGTAACGGCAGACTGGGTGGGACTAAAAAGTTCAATCAATCAATTCCAACTTTTCAAGATCTTTTTTTTTCCTGCGAGAAGTTGAAATTGACTGATTGATTGAACGTGTTGTTTTTTTTTGCACACAGCGGCCTAAAGCGAAATAAAACCCAGCTGAAGGCCTAGGACTGGGATGACGGTGTGTGTGCCCACAGAGAGGGCTCTGAGTGCCGCCTCTGGCACCCGTGCCATAGGTTCGCCACCACTGGACTAGGGCTTCAGTGGGACTCGTAGCCACTGCACAGGTCCCAAAATATGGTATTAATGAAGTGACAAAAATAAGGTTAACATATGTTTTGTACTTTTTATGACCCATTTGTATTCTGAGAGCTCAGTAATGAATGCATTTTTTTTTTATAAAGCTAGAGTTATCATCAGCTAATAGCTGTATTTGACAGATGAGAAAAAAAGGGGCTTCTGAAGGGATAAAGAACTAGATAGCCCATCCTCCTTGTTGTTTCAGCCACCCAAATGTCTTAACTAGGTGAAAGCTCTACCAGATAGCTTGCATCTGAGCTGGCATGCTGAGAATTGGTTTGCATTTGTTAGAATAGAACACATCACTTCGCAAGAACTTAACCTTTTATTCATGAGAGCAAATTTGGAGTTGTGGTTGAAATACCAGGCTAAGTCTAGTACTGAGTTCTAGTTTCCTGCCTGAGCAGGGGATTTGACTAGAAGACTTTCAATGTCCCTTCCAACTCTTGTCATTCTATATTCTGTATTCAGTTCTGCTTTAGGCACAAAACTGGGTAACCTTGCTCCAGTCCCTCTCTCAGCCCTAGGAATCAGGCAATGGCAAATCACTTCAGATATTTTACTAAAAAAAATAAATAAAAAAAAATACTGCAAGAACTTGTCCAGGCAGTTGCCACAACACTAAAACAACTTTATTCAGTGCTCTGCTGTGCTGTAAGAGTCTCTCTAGACCAGTGTTTCTCAACCTTGACCATTTTAAGGCATGTGGACTTCAACTCCCAGAATTCCACAGCCAGCATGGCTGGCTGTGGAATTCTGGGAGTTGCAGTCCACATGCCTTAAAATGGTCAAGGTTGAGAAACACTGCTCTAGACTCAAGTAGCACTTTGCAAAACAGAGTGAACCTTTACACACTGGATTAGAAATACCAACCGAAGCAATTATGGGACAGGTATCAAAGTCTGCGATTTGTAGCCCAGAACATCCAAAAGGCATCAACCCAGTAATAGAATAACAGAGTTGGAAAGGGACCTTGGAGGTCATCTAGTCCAACTTTCTACTTAAGCAGGAGACTCCCTACCATTCCAGACAAGTGCCTGTCCAGTCTCTTTTTAAAAGCTTCTAGTGATGGAGCACCCACAACTTCTGGAGGCAAGCCATTCCACTGGTTTATTGTTCTGTTAGGAAATTTCTCCTTAGTTCTAGGTTGCTTCTCTGATTAGTTTCCATCCATTGCTTCATGTCTTGCCTTCTGGTGCTTTAATAGGTTGACCGGTGAAGTCGTCTATAAAGCCCTGTATGGGAGGTGGGTGGGACCTTTTTAATATAGTGTAAGTACGGTTATATTGTAGCTTTCGTTCCTTTTATCTCGATTTTGCGATATTCACTTAGTTTTCAAGACAAGTGATAGATTGAACCTAGACCGGCGGTTAGTAACTACTCTTACTGCTTCTCAAGGATCTCAACGAGAAACGCTTCCACCGATTACCGTAGCCCAAAATGCGCGCTCCTGCTACTGGCAAATCACTAACTCTCGCCAATTCAGCCCGCCTACAAAGCTGAACCAATCGCCTTTCAGCCTTGGACGACGTTAGACTCGAACCGAGCCAATCATTCCTCCGCTCGTGGCGCGAGCTTCTTTGTTCCGCCCTCCCTACTGACGGCAGTTTGGCCTACGAGCAAAGATGGGCGGATTTTTAATTTGCCTAGCCACATTCTGGCACGCGGCAATAGGCCGTGATGCACGGGGAGGGCGTTAGAGTCGCCTGTAACCCCGCCTTTTTCAAATTGGTTCCGCCCCCTTCTCGGGCAAGCTTACCTTGGCGTTTTCGCACGCCGCTTGACAGTGTTGGCGCATGCGCACCAGAAGCTGCCGCGATGGAGCTGTTGGGGGATCTGCCGCTGCGCTTCTCTCGGTTGCCCATGTTTCCCTTCTTTGACTTAGCGCATTATACCGCTTCCATCCTGTCTCTGAAGGAGCAGCGGGGTGAGTGAGTAAGTAGGCCGAAGTCCGGAGTAGAAAACTTGTTTTTAGTTCTAGAAATTCCGGAAGGAGCAACCATAGCTCCTGACCATGTCCAGAGTCAACAAGGTTTCCTAAGGTGCGACCAAGGGCTTACAACTCACCCTTGTTTAATATGAAGTCTACTAGCTTATGCTGAAGATAGTTAACACATTTTCTAGATAAAAATTAAACTTCCTATTTTTTTGGTATTTGGAGGATTGGTTATGGATGGACAAAATGGCTATTTTTACTTACATGCAACATAATTAATGTATGAACTTTGACATTCATGACATTTATGGATGAACAAACACGTAGAAAATCCCCCCTTTAAAAAAAAGCATACCTTGTTTTCAGTAACTCACAGTTTTACAAAGGTTCAAATTATAATTCTAATAAAATTATAAAACATTCTCTATAAAGCATACTAATACATCAATATTGTACTCTTATTTTTTTTTAAAAAAAGGATCAACTGCTTTGGGAAGTAATACAAGTTTTTGTCTGATGTTTAAAAGGACTTCAGTAATATTATGAAAGCAATATAGCCTATGTATTTGGATCACAAATAATTTCATATACATTTGATGGGGAAAAAAATCCTTAACACCTGTCAGTCAGTGGCTTAGCTGGAAGGATTTTATTTTATTGTACTGTGTCATGTTTTCTTGATAGTGTAAAAGTTCACATAGTTTTTGTAAGCTATTATTTATTTGAATGTTTTTAAAAAATGGAGATTAGAAGATCTGCAAGGATTAGCCAGCAGTGTCAGGTGGAAATTATCTTGTGTAAGTTCAGTATAAAGTAAATGGCTTACCAAAGGCACTTGGTGTTACTTTTAGAAGCAGAATATTGGGCAAGAGAGATGTTTGACCAACTCAGTAGAGTTATTTTTATGTAACATCCACTAGGAAATAATCCGTGAGATAATTTTCTATTTTTAATGCATGCAGAGTATTAGCTTCATTTTTTTTTAGCAGAATGACAAGGTAACTTGAGGTAGTATCAGAAGACAGTAAATTTGGGGGAGTTATTTCATATGAATAGTCATACATTTGCCTGCTTCATCTCTCAAACAGGTAAATATATTTGCTCCGATTTGACTCATTTTTTTTCCCTCCTTTACAGCTAGTCCTCAACTTAGCACCACAATTAAGGCCAACATTTCTGTTGTTAAGTGAGACACTTAAGTGAATTTGCCCCCATTTTACGATCTTTCTTGCCAAACCTGTTAGGCAAATCTCTGCAGATGTTAAGTTAATAACATCTTTGTTAAGTGAATCTGGCTTTTCCATTGACTTTGCTTGTCAGAAGATGGCAAAAGGTGATTATATGACCCCCTAGGACACTGCTACAGTCATAAATATGAGTCAGTTGATAAACTTTTGAATTTTGATCACGTGACCATGGGGGAATGTTCCAAGAGTTGTGTGAAAAATGGTCATAAGTCACTTTTCTCAGTGCCGCTGTAACTTCAAATGGTCACCAAATGAAAAATTGTAAGTTGAAGATTACTTGCATTGTTCTGGATGCATATCTTCACACACACTGTAGGTAGGGTTGGTCCCCATTTTGTTGCTTTTCGGAAAGGCCCTAAAAATGTTTTGTCAATGGGTCTGGGGATCATGAATGAAGATGGAGCAGACTGATTTGGTGTGTTGTTGCTGCCATGAGCACGGGTGGTTTTTTTTAAAAAAACATTTTTTTTATAGTGTGATGAATTTTTAAATGGTGCCAAACACTCAGAAACACTCAGAATCATCTATGTCTAACTTGGGCAATTATATAAATTTGTTTACTAAATTAAGTAAATGTTGTCTTGGAGAAGGGGAAACAAGGCAGAAATTGAAATATTTAGTAAAGGCCAATGATTCTTGTAATTTGGTTGTCAACACTACTATAATATTAGTGTGTGCACACATACACATATCCTCTGTTATAATCTATCTAAATTGAATTTTGTTTTTGGAAATGATCTGTCCCATTCCCGATTCTGTCCCTTGGCCACCTAAGATGAAAATCTTTAGTGACTTACTTCTTGTCGTTATGGACTGGAGCTAAAAGTTCAGCTATAAATTCAGAGTCAATTTAGGTGAGAAAAATGCCACCTCACATTATGACGAGAAAAGATCTCTCTCTCTCTCTCTTTCGCTCAAAATACACACACACACACACACACCTATATATATATATTTTTTTTTCTGAGGTTTTCGCGGGTGTTTGTATGTAGGTCTTTGGTTATTCGGGTTTTCTCCCGCGTAAAATTGGAAGTGTCTTGGCGACGTTTCGACGAAGTCCCATTCGTCATCTTCAGGCTGGTGTTTTCCGCTCCGTGCTTCGAGGAGCACGAAGCTGAAAACACCAGCCTGAAATGACGAATGGGACTTCGTCGAAATGTCGTCAAGACACATCCAATTTTACGCAGGAGAAAACCCGAATAACCAAAGACCTACAAATACACACACACACACACACACACACACACACACACACATTTTCATATATATATATATATATTCAAAATTTTGTGGCTGACAAAGAGTTAAAGTTAAAGCCACAAAATTTTGAATTTACAGTGTTCACAGTAGTGACGTCTGCCTAAATAAAATACTCCTAAATTGGAGTGAAACGCGGAACAGACTGATTTATCCTATATTTGGTAGACCAGGTGCTTCATCCAACATATATATATATATATATATATATATATATATATATATATATATATATATATACACACACACATATACATACACACACACACACACACACACACAGAGAGAGAGAGAGAGAGAGAGAGAGAGAGAGAGAATACAGGAAAAAATCAATTATTTCTATTTTACTACCTATTATTTTAAATTTTAAAACTTCTAATATTTGAGATTGCAAGGATATAAAAAGTAACAATTACCGTATTTTACTTCTAACTGAAATTTACAATGGTAATGTGACATTTTAATGTCCACCTTAGGTATGAAAGTCAGCTGGATGAATTTGGGCCAGTCATTCTCTCCAGCCCAACTCACAGTCACAGGGTTGTTGTGGAGAAAATAGGAGGAGGGGAAGTATTAAGTATGTTCACCACCTTGAGTTATTTATAAAAATGAAGAATAAAAAAAATCTAAAAAATTTACAGCTCTGAGTTTTATGAATAACGTTCTGATATGGGCACTAAGCTATCCGAGCAATAAAATATAAACTGAATATTAAAGATAGACATCATTGGGTAGGTATTGCCATCTGTTGTGGACACTGTTTTTATGCTAATGTAATTCTTGTGTAAAATAATGTTCAGTGGCCTCTCCATTTCAGTTTCTAAAGTGCTCCCAGGTTGCCTTGTGGCATGTACAAATTTTTGCAAGGCAACAGTACAGTTCTTTCTTCGGTTTCATTTTCTAACATTACTTTTTCCAAATTGATAGAAACAATTTTTTAGAAAGAAAGGATAAAAATTGTCTCTCTGGAAGCCACCCCAGCACTCTTATACATAAATTTATTCGCAGCTTGTAAAGATCCATCCCCAGTAAATTGCAAACCTGCAAATGTAGTTGTATTTCCCTATGTTTGGGGGCTTTTAAAAAAGGGGTCTGCAGGCACAAATCCAAAGTTCTTCATAAATAGAAAAATTCCAGTTTTTAGAAGAACAATTTAGCAACATGTTAAGCTCTCTAAACCATAACTTCATCTCAATAATCTGGTTCGCCAATAATGATTAATCAGTAAGGAACCATCAGGAGAGATTTCCTGAACATTTGCACTAATATTCCTGCTATTTACTAATCTCCAGCATAAAAAGGCTGACAACCAAATTTTTAAAGACTGATTTTTTTTTCTGAATTAACCAGATGTTACCTCTAATCTTTCTCTTAGTTAGGTTAGACATACCTAGTTCCTGCAATTGTTCCTCTGTGTTTTAGCCTTTAGCCCCCAATCATCTTTGTTGTTCTTCTCTACACTCTTTCTAGAACAGTGGTTCTCAACCTTTCTAATGCCGTGACCCCATAATACAGTTCCCCATGTTGTGGTGACTCCCAAGTAGGTGTGGCCACCAATAAGAGGGAGTAGGACAGCTAGGGAAAAGGGAAAAAAATGGTGGACAGCGTGGTTTGGCGACCCCCATGAAATGGTCGTTCGACCCCAAATGGGGTCCCGACCCACAGGTTGAGAACCACTGTTCTAGAATCTCAACATCTTTTTTGTATTGTGGTAACCAAAACTGGATACAGTATTCCAAATGTAGTCTTATCAAAGCAACGTAAAGTGACACTAATAATCATAATAACAATCACCAGTCAACTTAAAATGCAAATAAAATAAAAAAATAAAGTAAACCCAAAAGATATGCTACATTTTTGGGTTAATTGCCTACCACAATTGCTGGCATAAGGGATTAAAACATTCAGACAAACTGAAAGATTCTGATGCTACATTTCTTTAAAGAGTTGTGATAAGATTTATATGTTTCTTTTATGCTATTTTATTGTTACAGTAGAATACTTGCAAATAGTAAAATCTATCAAGTTTCTTTTTGGAGACAGTAGTCTGCGTTCACAGATTATATTAAAGCAAAACACGACTTGCAGATTTTTGGTCTAGTGTTACATGTAAGAGATGTCAAACCATGGTTTATTGCGGGGGGGGGAGTACTACTCAGGCTTGCTGCAGCCTTTGGCACTTGGGATTGTGCTCTTAAATTGCAGTGAATTTTGTTTTGGAGTTGTACAGTTTGTAAGTATGGAAATGGAAGTGTTTTGCTCCCATTCCCAACCTGTAGACTCTCCAAAAAGGGAGGGGAAATGTTGACTGTGCTTCTTCCAATGAAGTCGCTAGGTGTCTTCCTTAGCTGTCCAGAAGGTTGGGAAGTAAAGCTGCTTCTTCTCAAAGATAACTTAATGATAACTAATAACGGATCTAACTTTATCTTCAAAGGTTTTTATAAATATAGTATATCTTCTGAGGTATCTTTGTCGTAAACATCTCTACTGTATATAGAATTTCAACATAGTCATAAGTCTTCCAGAACATTTGCTAGCATTTTTGCCAAATTTAAGGCCCATTTTTCCAGCGCAATGATGGATTTTCTCAGCATGCTGGAGGAATGGACCTCAGATCTGGCAAAAATGTTAGGAAACACCATCATTGGTACTGTTGTTCTCCCCATTGGGGAAGGCCTGGGTCTTGTGAATGTATGTAGAGGTCTGGGCTCCCTCCTGGCCGCACCACACCTGGGAGACCTGAACCCTCTCCCTTGCACTAAGGCTTAATGACCTGCAGTCAGGAGAGTCAGGATCATAGTTGTTGTACAAATTGGTCTCAAGACATGTTGCTTCACTCAGCGATCAAGATTCTGGACCCAATTGTTGTAAATGGAGGACTCCCTGTAGTTGTAAATAGCATAATCTCCTAATTGAAAGTGTCTAGTTCCAGTCCATTTCAATTTGTTAATATCAAAGATGCCTTCATTTTATTTTTTACTGCATTGAACTTCCCTACCTTAATGATTCTTAGGTTCCATGTACTCATTATAGTTCTGTCTTTGCAGCGTTCTTTTCTTGATTGTTAACATCAACAACTAAATATCTTGAAAATGTTCATCTGCTCATGTAGATTTAGCACATTCAGCAACCTATCATGAAACCAACATTTGATTTTTCTTTTTTAGATTTTATTAGGCACAGCCTGATCAGTTGTAGTAACTGTATCACACAGTATAAATATTTTGAAATTCCCTTGAATCATTCTTCTCACCATAAATCCAACAGAATTTACATAGTTTTGTCTGAAGAAACCCATTTGTGTTTGTCAAATCCACAAAGGACTACCCCTGCCTAATCAGTAAAACCCTACTTTTCATGAGAAATAAATGGGGAAATGATCACTTCCTGTATTATTGACTTGGAGAACTTCCCAACCACAATGAGGCAGGATACATCTGGAAACAATTTAATCGAAAGAAGAAACTTTATGTATAAACAAATCACACTGAGTGGGGGTTCCATTCTTAAAAAGAATCAACTCAAACTTTTTTCTAAATTGTTTCCCAACAATCCCCATTCCTATCTGAGTTACCACTGCCCCATAAAGAGCTATGATGATTGAAATGCCCACATCAAAAAAATCCCTTTGTATTTATCAATGGATGATTCAATCATATATCAGGAAACATGAATTATAAACATTAGTATGATTTCTTCAAAGGAATTCCCTCTGAAATTTCAGATTAATCGAGTCTAAATTGTTTAAACTTTCCTGAAAGAGGATATGCCCGCTTCCCCCAAACGGCTCTGCTTTATGAACAACAGCATAATTTCAGATTCTAAAACTGAAGGTTTCCAATTACTATGTCCCTTGAATACAAATTATATCAGGTAACACCTTCAGTGTGTTCCTCCTAGTTAAGCTCTCCAGACCAAGCTGTTTGTGACTCAAGATGATTGAGGAGTGGATACTTTCTACAGACAGGTTTCTTAGTTCCCTCCCAATTGTTGCTGCCTTCAAAATAATCAAGATTTTATCATTTTTCTTTCCTCTAAGTTGTACTATTAATACAGAGGTCTTCAAACTTGGCCCTTTTATGACTTGTGGACTTCAACTCCCAGAATTCCTCCGCCAGGAGTTGAAGTCCACAAGTCATAAAAGGGCCAAGACTTGTGGACTTCAACTCCCAGAATTCCTCAGCCAGGAGTTGAAGTCCACAAGTCATAAAAGGGCCAAGTTTGAAGACCCCTGTATTAATACTTTCCACAGTAAATTCTGCAGTAGTTAGTTTTTAATCAAGGACAAATTTGGACTGAATTTTTTCCCCCTGCAGCCTGGCTTTCTGGCAGTGCTAGATCCATGTTGTTCAGTAGAAGCTGCCTAAGAGACACTTAGAGCAGGGATCTGCAACCTTGACAACTTTAAGACTTGTCGACTTCAGCTCCCAGAATTCCCCAGCCAGCATAGCTGGCTGAGGAATTCTGGGAGCTGAAGTCCACAAGTCTTAAAATTGTCAAGGTTGCAGACCCCTGACTTAAGAGTTATTTGTATACTCTGACCATCTCTGGCCCTCACCTTCTGAGTAGCACTATGATCCCTTTCATAATTGCAGCAAACTGAAGCAAGGGCTCTACCACTTTGATCAAATTCATGTAAACTACATCTCCCACGTTGTGTTCAACCTCAGAAGAATGGCTGCAGGACTTGGATTTGGCTAGTCTAAAGAAAAGAAGGATTAGGGGTGACAAGATAGCAATATTCCAGTATTTGAGGGGATGCCACAAAGAAGAGGGAGGGGGGGTGTCAGACTGTTCTCCAAAGAACCAGAGGGCAAGACAAGAAATAATGGTTGGAAACTGATCAAAGGGAGAAGCAACCTGGAGTTAAGGAGAAACTTCCTAACAGTGAGGACAATTAACCAGTGGAACAGCTTGCGTTCAGAAATCGTGAGCCCTCCATCACTGGAGGTTTTTAAGAAGAGACTAGACCAGGCATGTCAAACTCGCGACATCACATGAAATCTCATGACTTTCCCCCCATTGCCAGTAGTGGGATGGGCGTGACGCATCTGGCCCGCAGGCTGGCAGTTTGACATGCCTGGACTAGACAGTTACTTGTCTGAAATGGTATAAATCAGTGGTGGTGAACCTTTTAGAGACCGAGTGCCCAAATTCCACTTATGTATTGCTGGGTGCCAGGTGGGCGTGGCTATTGTAGAAATGGTAGACTGGGTGGGCGTGGTCATGGTGGGTATGGCCAACTCGATGTTGCTCTGGAGGGTGGGGCAGTGGGCAGGAGAGCATCTTGCTCAGCGGGTGTGGGGGTATGGGGGGAGGCTCCTGAGCCCTGCAGCTCTTCTGAGGGGGGGGAGGATGGGCTGTGCTGGGATTGGGGCTCCTTGTGCCTTCTGCTGCCTGCCTGCGTTCTTCTGCCGAAGATGCCATGACTCCGCTTGCCTGGCAGGGCAAGGGCACGCTCATGCATCAGGACGCACATAGGGCTGCTGCCTCGCTTTCCATGCCTGCTTCCGCCGAAAGTTGCTCCCTTTATAGCCTCTTGCTTATTCCCAGACTGCGCATGTGCAGCTCTGCGGAAAGCTGCGCATGCACGGAGAGGAGGAGGGAGCAGCTCGGCCCAGCAATGGCTTGTGTGCCACCAGAGACAGCTCCGCGTACCGCCTGTGGCACGCGTGCCATAGGTTCGCCACCACGGGTATAGGTTCTGCTTGAGCGGGGGGCTGGACTAGAAGACCTCCAAGGTCCCTTCCAGCTCTATTCTCTTCTATTCATCTCACTCCAGCCAAAATCTGAAGGCAGCATTTAAATAACATTTAGCACTAGTTTATTTTTTTATTAATAACATTAAAACTCCTTTAATTTCTACATTAGAAATGTTGGATTTTTGAGTGAACATAAGGCAGTGTCAGGATATATAGTATACACTAACAGGAAGGTTGTGACTCTGTTGTCTTCCCCTCCTTGCCTTCACTGAATCTAACCCATATCTTCCACCATTTTTCTTAAGCTATTCTGCCATTTTATGGGGTTACTATATCCCTCCTATCACATCCTTTCCCATGGCTTTGATTACCAACCTGCTCTCTCCATCCAAGGGTTCCTTTTTTAATGTTTCTTCACTGAGAGCTTCCTCCTCTCAGACCCCCTTATTTTCCTTAGAACATGCTGCTCAGGTCTCAAGGTTGGCTCAGCCTTCCAGCCTTCCGAGGTTGGTAAAATGACGTCCCAGATTGTTAGGGGCAATAAGCTGACTCTATAGCCGCTCAGAGAGGGCTGTAAAGCACTGTGAGGCGGTATATAAGTCTTAAATGCTATTACCATTAGCGCAGTAAGCCGATCAGGGAATTTAAAGAACCATGTGTTGGCTTTTCTCCTTTTGCAGCAAAATTAAAAGGAAAATTCCTTATAAAGAGCTGTTTGTATCTTCTCTTGTTTTCAGGAGTAGTTGAAGTCGCATATGGCAGCCCACTTGCATGTTGGTTTAGTGCTATGCTTTACTGTTTCGGTGGGTCCATATTATCTTCGCTGATGCTAGCAGAACCTCTAATTGCATTTCTTGCCAACACCACAGGTGTCCTCCTTGCCTCATCCGTCTGGTAAGTAACTTTTAATACATAGTGCATTTTTTTGATAAATAATACATATTTTCAAAGTTATTGTTTATATGGCTTCAAGCCACGCTATAAAGAGTTCATTTTAAAGTTGTCGTCTGCTTAAAGGAATCTGTCAGTGAATTTTAAGATTGTTAATCGAGCGAATTTGCATAAATATGTTTACAGCTCTATCAGTAATTTGGAAGGGGAAAAAAAACCCTTCATCCTAGAGAAAGCTTTTTTTAGTTCGAGAGAACAAAAAGTCTTCTGATGGATAGACTTGTGGATAATTTAAACAATGTCTGATTTTAAATACAAGGGACTGTCTAGATGTTTTAATAAATTGAAAGATTATTAATTATTTAATTGTTAATTGTTTAATTAATAACTACTAACTAGTCTTAATTAGTAATCATTTAACTCCTAACTATTAAGCACTTTGGATTTCTCGGAAAGAAATTAGGAACGTGTAAAAGAATAAGCATTTGATATACAGTGGCAGATATAAAAGCAACAATTAACAGTATATAGTTAACCTCCAGATTGTGAAAATATATTCCATGAATTTTGCACAGAACTATTATGAGGGAGAGAGGGAGACTGAAGCATTATATGGAGTTGTGCCTCTGGAATGGCCTCCTGTTGGGTGTTTATTTGGATCCAACGGTATCTGCCTTCCAGAAAAAGCTAAAGACAGAGCTTTTCCAGAGGGCGTTTGGGACAAATATCCGTTACCGTATTGCGTCTGGGTTTTAATTGTTTTAGGGTTTTTTTTAGATGTCTCTCTCTGTCTCTCTCTATCATAAATATATATATTTGTCTGTGTGTGTCCCTGCACACAAATTTTGGAAACTTCCAAGAATCCTGTGATTGTACGGCAATAAATTAATAAATGAAAAAAATAAATGAATAACGCTGATGGGTTGGCATAATCAGTTATGGGTAGTTTTCAACTTATGACTTGGTCGCTTACAAAAGACTTAGCTTGGAGCTACTTATGACCCAAATTTGAAATTCTGATGGTTGCCCCCCACCCCCGTAGTCAAATGTGGTCACTTGACTGTGCCTTATGACAGTTTTGCTGAAAGCCAACATTTACTTCTGGTTTTTTTTTTGGTAAAACTGTACCTGTATTCGCAGTCTGCCTACCATTGTCATGATTTATGACTGTGGTAGGCAGACTTCACTACAATCGTAAGTCGAGGACTGTCTGTAGTCCAATGCCAGCAAAACCCTCCCTGTTTCCTTCCTTCTTTCTCTCCATTTCTAGTAACTCAACATTGTTTAACCAGTATAATTCACCTTTTTAAAAAAAGTGCATTGAAGGTATTTTAAATGCTGTACTTTCTTTTTAAAAATATACTTCATATTTCTGATGGGAGATGGGCCATTTTCACATGATTGATGGGTACATCTGTCTATAAGCAAAATGTAGAACAAAATGCTAAGGGAAAAAGGCTGGTTTTAGATTTTAGAATTTAAAGTGTGTTCATTGATGCTTTTCTTACAGGCTGCTTAGGAGTAAGTTCCAATTGAAACCCAGTGGTGTTTAGCTTTCCATAAATGAAAATTGGGTCAGCCAGGCTGCCTACATCCATTCTTAGACTATAAATGGAAGCCAGCAATCTGTTATCTTCATGGCAGTTGCCTTTCCTGTGACTGCTTGAAATTTAACATGTAAAGCACAAAGAATAGAGAAAAGACACACACACACACACACACACACACACTTATGCACACTCCAATGTGAACTTAACAAACCAAGAGACCCAAGAACAGCATTTAGCCTGCTTTGCAATTGACACTGATGTCCTATTACCCATAAATAAAATACATGCTGTTCTTTTTAGGGCCTCTCATTAAGTAATAAACCTCATTAGCGGTATTGAATGATGTTGGAATGCTTGAATCTCAGCCTTTTGCAGTTGCTGCAACATAAACTGCTGAATTAACTTCTTACCGCCTGCGTTTTGCTGAGTACATTTTGTTTAGTGCAGTTTACTTTCACCACAGAAGCTTCTTAGCTCAAGCACTAATGTATATGGACTAGGACTTAATGGCAGGGTGAGAATACGTTTTTGCCTTAAGCCATTTGGTTTGTGGCCTGACAGACAAAATTTCTTCTGGGAAACATGTAGCTTGACTTCAAAGTTTCCTTACGTGAACAGTTTCTGCTAACACCATGGTGTTTCCAAATTATTTTCTTCTTTAGATATCTATCCATATATACACACATCAATATGTTCTTGTGGGCTACCTGGAGATGCTGGGGGATATCTGTGAGTGGGTGATGGTAGTATTAGGAATGAGGTAAAGAGGAAATTGCCAGAGTTGCCTCCTTACCATTTTCATAAACGGAAAAAACAACTTGGAATCTGAATCCATGTTTTGCTAATCTTGTCACAAATGATTGACAAGTTGAGATTTATCCCAAGCTGCTGAAGCCGGATTGTAGATATGGTGGGATACGCTTACGGTAGAATGATCTTTGTGTACGAAGGGCTACTGATTGGAGACTTAAATGGTTATGAAGCACAATGTTCTAACTTAATCAGTCAGAAAGAGACCAAGCTCAGTGGACAACTTCATTCCCTGCCTCTCTGCAAGAATGTCATGGTAAGAAGCAGCTGCAGAAACCCTGCATTCTGTTCCTTTCCAAGACATATTTATGGAGATTCCCCAATCATCCAGGTCACGGTTGTCCCAAAGGTGCTTCTTCAGGAGGCAACTGAAAATGGAATCCTTCCATTCCCCACCATCTACTCAGAGCTGAAGAAGCTCCTTGGATGAGAAGTGAAACAAAGAAGACAGAAAAACAAGAAAGTCCAGTTGCCTCCTGAAAAAGCACCTTTGGAACAACCATGACCTGGGTGACTGGGAATCTCCATAGACATTTAGTTATGCACTTTGGGATGAACATCCTCGAATGGTGCAGGAATATGAACAGATTTCCCGAAAACATTGCAGACCACAGGAACCATTTGAGCTTCAGTTTGAGATGCAGACAACACAGACTCATCCCCAATAGCGTTGCCTGTCTTCAACAACGAAGGGACACAGGACAGAAAACATCCTGCAGCCAAGAAGGCTCCGCACACACATCTGTATCCCTGAGGATACAGATAAACCTCCAAATGGCCTCAACCACTCTCTAAAAGAATGCAAATGACCAGCTTTCTGCAAGAAATACAAATCCTTCCATTCCCCACCATCCAGTCAGAGCTGAAGAAGCTTCTTGGATGAGAAGCGAAACCTCTTCAAAGAAAAACAAAGTCCAGTTGCCTCCTGAAAAAGCACCTTTGGGCTTTCCACAGACATTACTTAGTTCCTGTTAAATGTCGCACTATGACTTTCAGCTCTATGGAGAGCTGAAAGGCAACCATCTGATCACATCCCTCTACAAGGGGAGCATCATAATGTTCACAATAGAACAAGTGAAGATGTATGTAGGCTGAAACAAATATAAAGTAACTGGCTTATGATTTGTCCCTTTATTCTATCTTGAAAAAATTCATTTCCTAATTTTTATCTCTGAGGTCAGGGTCTTTTTCTTTTTCTTTTAATTGATGTGATCTGTTTTAGAAAGCAGTGATGTCCAAAAATTGGATAAATATACAATGAGTAAAGGAATACACAATAATATGTTGTTACAAGCAATCATTCTAAGTCAGACATGTCAAACACAAGGCCCGGGGGCCAGATGTGGCCCGCAAAGTGGTTTCATGTGGCCCGTGAAGCCATCCTGGAAACAGTGAGGGAATGGCCCCTTCTGCCTTGGCCCTGGCCCAGGCCAGGCAGGAGCCAATGTACAATTTTGTGGTGGCCATCTATGCTGAAACACATTCAGTCTTAGCTTCACAAGGCTGTCTGGAAACAGCGAGGAATCAGGAGAACCTTGAACAGCAGCCTTGAGGAAGTGGGGCTGGGCTTGGTGCCGCGGGTGCTCAAGGGCCAGGCTGGGCATTTGACCTCTGCTGCCCTGGGCTCCGGGCAGCCCGCACCACCATCCAGCCCCTCACCCCGCATGGCCTGAGAGGAACAGTGAGGCTCCTCCAGTGGACCATGCCTTGGCGCTTGCCCTGGTCCCACCCCCTTCTGCCAGAGACCCTAGATCTGTCCCACTCCTGCCCAGGCCCCCACAGGCACCCTTGACGTGAACAATGTAGAGCTAGCCATGCCCACCCAGTAGGCCACACCCACTCCATCCACGCCCACCCAGTAGGCCACACCCACCCTGGCCACACCCAACCAGCCCCCTGAGGGCAACCGCAATGCTGATGAAATTGAGTTTGACACCCCTGTTCTAAGTAATGCCATTATTCAGGCAAATCATTATCAAGGACAAAGTATTCATGTTGAATAAGGATTCATACAAAGCAGTTTTCCTAAATTCATAGGCATAAATGTTTTTTGGCTTGAATGTTAGCAGTGTATACATATTTGGGTTGCCTGATTTGTTTATATGGAATTTAACCTGCTGCCCCAGAAAATAATAAAGTGAATTTTCTTTCACATAGCTTGAGAATCAGCAGCATAGTGTTTGCTAGTATAGTAGCTGAGCACCACTAGATGGCATTCAAGAATCTCTAAAATTCCAGTTTTTGTATTAAATATTGGTCCAGGTCCCTTGTTACTACATTAGATTTCATAAATACTGCTCTATTTAAAAATGAATTGTATAATTCTTTTTGGTATCTTTAACATCAACAAAGAATTTTAAAAAACACCCTTCACCTGAATACATTACTGGTCTCTGGCATAGATTATCTATAGATATGAAAATTTTGACCTATGAAGCAACTCTTGATTTGGAACAATTTTGTGTGGGTTGAGAAATCAGTCCAGTTTGGATTCCATAGACATTCCATAAACATTGTTGAAGCCAACTGATGTCTTTTAATCACTTTTAATGTGTGCTGTTGTATATACAGGCAAATGACAATACAGGTTATTTTATTCCACTGAGGGGATGGGGTGTGTGTGACATGAATTCATAAATCAATACAGCATCATATTGACTGGCGGGTAGTATGAGCTAATGGGCTTTTCAAAAGGGGCATGTCCATCTTTAGGTTAACACAACCACCGTTTGTGAACTAATGGAGAAATCAGGGCAATTGGCATAGTTTTAAGCAAGGTTTTACGGTGTGGTGAATTGTATTGTTCAATTTGCAGATCTTTTTTCAGTGCAAAGGCTTATTTTTCCTGAAACACACTGTCGTCTCCTGTGGCTGCTGCTACCTCTGCAGTTACTCTAAATGAGAGAGCTTGCAAATCTGGTGTTGCCTTTAGCTCCCAAATTGCATACCCTGGACCTGACCCCTAGTTAATTGCATAGGGCACTTTTTAGAAGAGTATTTTATTTATTACATGGATTCCAAACTGAATATAGAAAATATAATAATTTAAACATCAAAACTATACAGTTATACACAATCGAAAGAAAAATACAGATAGTCTTCGACTTACAGCAGTCTGTTTAGTGACTGTTCAAAGTTACAACAGCACTGGAAAAAGTGACTTATGGCCGTTTTTCAGACTATGGCATCCCCATAGTCATTCAGATGCTTGCTTGCAACTTGCTCATATTTATGACTGTTACAGAGTCTCTGGGGATCCCCTTTTGCAACCTTCTGACAAGCAAAGGCAACAGGAAGCCAGATTTAGTTAGTAATTTAACAAGTGCAGTGATTCACTTAACTGCCTTGGCGAGAAAGATTGTAAAATGGAGCAAAACTCACTCAACAAATATCTTACTTAGCAACAGAAATGTTGGTCATAAGGACTACCTGTATACGGTAATTAGAAATATATAAGTTAAGATTAAGATGTTCTAATCTAAAAGGAAGCATTGGAATCATTCCTGTTCCTGTCAATTTAATGGCATGTATATAGCCAAGGATAAAAATAGTAGAAAAATATTTTTAATGTATCTGATATCATGACCAGATTTGATTAAATGTATCTTCTACTGCAGAGGTCTCCAACCTGTGGGCCATGGCCCCCTAGTCAGGTTTGCAGCCACGGAAATGGCCGACGAGCGTGAGCATGCACACATCCTCACTTGCACAAGGAGCAGGCAAGCACGTGTGTGTGCACCCTCCATTTGAGTGAGCGGCAGGTGCACATACACACCATTTGCGCAAATGGAGCTGTGTATGGTTGCCGGCCGCTCGTGCAGAACATCCCCTCTCACCCTCCCCACTGGTCCGCAAAGCCTCCTACGTTGGGGAACTCTATTCTACTGTATAAGATTTTTCATAACTTTTTTATGCCTTATTGATTTTTCTGCCAATGTGGTTTTCCACATGTTTGGCTACTTCTGCTTCTCTGAAAATTACCTTTTAAACTTCCAGGTCATTCTGAAAAAAGGTAGGCCAGACCACTTTCTTCTTGTTCCCCAAATTGGATAACTCAACAATCCCATGGGCACGAATAGTTCTCTACCTATGCTTGTCTTTGCCTTTGATAACTTGTAAACCTACATTCCCCAGGAGGTGAAAATTTGGCCCTTGGTCTGTCAATTTAAATATTAGAAATGCCTGCTTCACAAAACAGACTCTCCTCAGAATAACTGCCAAGAATCTTTTATGCTTTAGACAGCAAAGAACTTTGTCCGCCCATCCTTAAAGAAACAAAGCCCCCCCCACCCCCGCTTTTAAACATTTAGGAAATCTCTATAAACCTAGGAAACACATAATGCACAGAAGGGTTGTGCAGCCTTTGGGGCTTGAGAGCCATACTTGGCCTGTGGTAGGATGGAAGAGGCTGTATTTCAAAAGGGTGGGCAGGGTTAAGGCAAACCAGTAGCTTGATTTCATTTAAACCAGTATGCTAGTCTTCCCAACCCGATGCATTCCAATATGTTGAGTTTACTTCCCTTAATTTACAGGGAATTTTGGAAACAAATGTCTACTTCATTTAAACCAGTTTTTTTTTAAAAAAAACAACAACTTGTCAATTGTAAGATGTGTGGAGTCCTTGGTGCTCTCTGAGCTTAGTTTTTTTCTTGTAGACGTTTCATTATCCAAACTAAGTAATGTCATCAGTGCTAGGGATGTTACCTAGCACTGATTACGCAGTTACTAGCTCTGATGATGTTACCTAGTTTGTGTAATGAAACGTCTGCAAGAAAATAGCCACGCTCAGAGAGCACCAAGAGCTCCTCCTCAGCCACGGAAATGGCCGACGAGCGTGAGCATGCACACATCCTCACTTGCACAATATTTGAGCTACAAATATTCTTTAAGATGTGTGGAATTGTGGGAGTTGGGTGGCCCTCAAGTGAGTTGCCAAGTGTAAAAAATACTGATTTAAAGAGCACTAGAGCTTTCCTTGGCCTGAGTAAACTGAGAGGAACTGAATGGCTAACCCTGTGGATACCCACGGGGACAGTAGGAGAAAGTTGCTTAGATCTTTCTCTAGAGGCATTGAAATTCAATTAGGATTACAGTCCAGTGTGCCACTGCCAATATATATCATGAACACTGGATACGTTGGACAAATCCTAACAATGTTCTAAAGAGCTCTGAAAATCTAACACTTTCCCCAGGCCTTAAATTATACATCCAAGAGTTGCATTTTTGTCTTTTCATGATAGATTTTCTTCTTTCGGAGGTGGGAAACTGTCCTTTTAATTGTATGATTGTTTTTACTATATGCTACCCAGTATTGTTACAGAGTTGGGCAGCCAGCCTTATATAATTTTTATAGTAAATAAATGAATAAGAAATCCCAGGGCTACAGCAAGGTTAGGAAGTTAAAAACATCCCCAAACAAAGCAACAACAAGCCATTTCTGTAAATTGAAGCAAATTACAAGGACCAGGAGTTGAGTTGGACTTGCAGTAGAGTTTAATCTACTTGTGCAGAAGCAAGGTGTTGTATAGTTTATACTTGTTAATAGTAAGAACAAAATTGGAATCATCAATGCCGCCCTGGTAGTTTTGGAAGTACAGATTGTCCTAAAGCTGTGTAGGAACCTCTTTCAAAATCAGCATGCGTTTATTTGAAGGATTTATGTTGAACTGTGTTTGAAATAAAAGATTTGATTGGTAGACATTTGAGGTACAGTATTTGTAAGGTGTTTTTTTTCCAGCAACTTATAAAGATAGTTACAAAGCAGCCCCGCCTTCAAAGTTGCAATCTAAAAATCACAAGAAAAAAGAAAAAGGAATTAGGAATAGAGAGGAATAGCCAAAAGCCAGTTGAGTAGCTTTTTCTTGCTCAACGGATTATCATCTTCCTTCTCTTTCTTTCTTATCTGCTTCTTTTTGTTTATGCATCTTGCCAGAGTTGCATCTTTACAATTAATGCTTTAAATGAAAAAAAAAAATCTAAACCTTATGTAATTAAAATGATGCTGTTCCTGGATAAAAGGGAATTATTAGCTGTTCCAAATACCAGGATTGTTTGGAAGCTCGAATTTACAGGAGAATGGATTCCCAAAAGGGCAAAAAACAAAAAGGTAGAGAATTGGCAGAGACAATACTAGTGGAGCAGACAGAGAGAGCGATAAAACTGAGGGAAGTGGCATCAAGTCATCTAAAAGAAAGTTAGCAGAACTCAATTCCAGAAAGGTAGCAGTTGATATTGAGACATTTTGATACACATTTTGAATGCACTCAACCTTTCTGCACTTAGGGAAAAGCTGAAGCATTTATGCCGTCTCTTTACTCCTTGAAGCTTCTCCCAACTGAAGCAATCATGAATTTTTCCTTAGGACTAGTATGTTTTCACTTAAGCAGACTTATCAGGCTTGCTTAGTTTTTTGGGGGTATTTTTGTAAACGGTTTCATAATCAAGTGCAGGGGTAGGCAACCTTGGCTCTTTTATGACTCGTGGACTCCCAGAATTCCTGAGCCAGCACGGGAGTTGAAGTCCATAAGTCATAAAAGAGCCAAGGTTGCCTACCCCTGATCTAGTGCAAAATAATTTCATTCCTTTACTAGTAAGGAATAAAAGAATTGTGTGAAGTGCAGCACCTGAAAAATGGAAGCAAATCTATGTTTTGTTTTCCATATTGAATTCCTATCACCTTTTTCCTTTTCCCTCCCCATTGAATTGTGATCCTGCATCTGCATTTTCTTTTTCCATTTCTCTTATTTGTACTTAAATTTTCTGTTACAAACTCCATATTTGACTGAGAAATATGTCTGGCATATGTCTAAGTCAAATATGTTCTTTATATACAGGGGTTAAGCTAAAGTGTTAAGCTTAATAAGAACGTGCATGTAAGGTCATGCGATCTTGCAGTTATATAACTAGAATGTGTATGTGTGCATATATTCTACATTCTCAAGTCATAAGTATAACTAAAGAATATTTTTTTTAAAAAAAGGCATCCATATTATATATTAAGGCCACCTTTAAGGCTAGGTATCCACTATATAATTTTCCCAGACATAAAATTTGAAAAATCACTATGTGGTAAGAAATAAAGCCAATGTTTTTAAAAAGCATATAAGGAGCAGTCATATTTAAATGAATGTTTAACTAGCCAGGTATCCTAAGATAATAGATATTGAAATTTAATTTATTGAAAGTCCAACAATACATATTTAAGCAGCGTGCAGCTTTACACTATCTGCTATTTCTTATTGTTTATGTTTAAGAAGGTTTCTTAATTGAGAATGTGTTTCATGCTTGCATAGTTGGCATTCTTTTCCTATAAGCATGTTTGGGAGACTGAACCTTTTCCTCCTGATTGTTTAGGTATCTTATATTTTACTGCCCACGTGATCTAGCCTACCGCTGTTTATGTTTTCCACCTATACGACTGATGATTGCAGGAATGAAGGAAGTGACAAGAACCTGGAAGATAACAGGTGGAATTGTTCACGCGCATAAACGCTTTGCAGATGCCTGGCTAATCATGATAGGAGTTGGTTGGGCCAGAGGTAATATATGAAACCTCTCTGTTCTAAAACTAATTTTTAGGCTGTTGTTTATTTGGTTTTATGGAGAGTATCTGGGACCATTTGGAGAGGAAAGGCTGACTCCATACAAAACTGTTCAGGGTTATTTGTTATCGGCTTCTCAGCTCTCTGAAAATGACTAATTAGAAATAAATTCCCTTTATAGAAAGCATCAACATGTCCAGAGATGCAGTCTTAGTTTTATGGTGCTATTTCATAGCCTTTTGATAAAATCTGCTGCAATGGTTAACATTGCTGACCTATAGTAACAAGTTTCCTCTATCTCAAATCCAGCTTTACAGTTTGCTCCCCCCCAAACTGTCTTATTTTCCTTTCAGTTAATGTTGGATAGTTTCCCTATGTCTTCTGATTTGATTAAAACCCTTTTCTTAATTTTCTCTTTATCTTTTTCACATACATTTTAATTAACATCTAGATCTGAATATAAATAAATTGAAGAACTTAAGAGCCAAGAGCCTTTTCACATATCTGGTGTTATGCCTTTGTGTTTAATGATCAGCAGAAAGTTCTGCCTAGTAAATGTGTGTAAAATTAACTTGTATGTGAGGATACTACCTGCATTGAGCTGTTTTTTTTAAAGTAAATTTTTGTTGCTTTAAAACAATTGCAACAAAAAAGCGAGCATAACATATAAATGAAGATATAATTAAAATAATATATAGCATTGTGTGTATGTGTGTGAGTGTGTGTATGTGTGTGTGTTTATGGCCTCTGATGTCAAGTATACAAACATCTTTCCAAAAACAGTCCTTTTTACACAATCTGGGCACTCTAGATTCAAAGTTCTTCAGTAATAGATGCATTTTACATCTATCCATTTCTGACTTCCTTAGAGGAACTGAGGATAGTTCTCCAAATATCTGCTAAAGCTTCCTGTCTGAAGCAATTTCTACTCATTACTGTATTCTCTAACCCAATGTTTCTCAACCTTGGCCACTTTAAGAGTGGTGGACTTCAATTCCCAGAATTCCCCAGCCGGCATGGCTGGCTGGAGAATTCTGGGAGTTGAAGTCCACCGGTCTTAAAGTGGTCAAGGTTGAAAAACACTGCTTTAACCAAATGGGGCCATGTAGGATTAGGATACAGGCCAGCCTGGTAGTTGCATTTGATAAGCTGATCACAAGGAGGATTTATACTCTGTTGGGTGCAAAATTGGGCTGGATGGATTGTTTTTGTACTGGGAAGTCCCATTTTTTTTTCCATTGAAAATGAAATCTGAGAAAGAAAAGGGTGATGATGGTGTCCATTGGGAATGGGCTCCATGACATAAAATAGCCTGTTGACCTGTTTTGCCTGTTGGATTATAACAGGGTTGAGAAAAATTCAGTCCTTCTGCAGCCCTCCTTTCAAGTTCTTAATTTGTGCACATTGGTCTCATGTTATAACCAATTAGTTCTCCTCATTTTCACCAAGTGAGATATAGTCCTGTCTTATTTTAAACTCTATTGGTTTCTTACAGTATAAGGCCATTACAGATTCTAGACTTCAGAGTGAAGCTGTTGCTTCCATTTTTTTTCTAACAAAGATTAAACCTTTCCATCTCAAAATAGGATTCTTTCTAAAGAGTCTCAATTTGAGGATCCAATTTCAATAACTGTAAAATAGGTCATTTCATTTCTTCCTATAACTTAAAGGGCCCTATCTTGTGCCTCTGAAAGTAATGTGATGGATTTGCAGTTGTCCTAACTAGAAGTGGGATTGAGTGTCTAAGATCTTTTGAACCAATTTAAGCATGTAATAATTTGTATTGAATTACAGGAGCTGGTGGCGGTCTAATATCCAACTTTGAACAGTTGGTGAGAGGTGTATGGAAGCCTGAAACTAATGAACTGCTGAAGATGTCATAGTAAGTCATTGAAAAGCACATAACAATTGGCAGTTCTGGGGACATTTTTTTCCATTGGAAGATCTGTAAAAGTAGCTCTTCAGTTAATGTAACTTTAAGCAATACTATAAAATGATTTATTTCTAAATTCTTTCCCTTTGAGAGGATATTTCTCCACACTAATTTGGTATCTGAAAAACCTTTAAGCACATGACACTGGAACTTGGCATATTGCAGAATACTGTTATGTCCTTATAATTGCAGAAAATGAATAGTGCTGGGGCCAGATAACTCCAGGAATCTCAGGGACATAAACGGTGGGGGTTTTTGTGGACCGTGTATAATTGAATTCTATTAATTCATTTAGTGACAATGAGACTATAACATGAGACTATAGAAATGTGCTCCTTTCTTTATTTACTAAATCAAAATCTCGCTGTCATATAAACAAACTGCAACTGGCAACCTAGCAGAATTCTGCATTTATTGGAAAATGGGAAATTGGCACTCTCAGATAATTATCCCCAAAGTCTTTGTGCTGCTTCTAAACAGATGAATAATGATAACCAAATACTTTGGCCCAGTTCTTGAATTAAGTGAAAGTCTTAAAATGCATTCTTTAGGTTGTATATTGTGGAGAACGTTGATGCTGGCAAATACATTTTCCCTAGAATAAAACAACCTTTTGGTTCTCATCCTGCTAACCAGATGCCTCTGAAAAGACCTGTCCTTCAAGTATTCTTCTACTCCAGGAATATCAAACCTTGGCTGGGGAATTCTGAGAGTTGAAGTCCACAAGTTTTAAAGTTGTCAAAGTTGGACACCCCTGCTTTATCTCTTTTTAAAGTCATCCATATTAATGGTTCTTCCCTCATCTTGTGGACATACATTTCTCAGAATTATGTAGTGTGTAAAGTATCTCCGTTCATCTCTTTTAAATCTTCCGGTTAACTTTTTGGTACTGCTGTTTTAAGAGAGGAAAATAATTTCTCCCTGTCCATTTTTTCCACACTATGCATAACTAAACCTCAAATACATCCCTCTTTGGTCATCTTTTTACAAATCGGGGACTAACAAACCCTTTTACGGAAGAGAAGTGTTATGGGTCCCCTAATCATTTTGATAGTATTCCTTTTCATCTTTTCCAGCTTCATTGTGTCATTTTTCTTTGTGGTGATAGAACTGTACCCAGATGTGCAGTGCATGCTGTAGATGTTTTTTCTAGTGAAATGTAGAAAGCTTAGGTTCCAGCCATGTGTAGGTGAATTTAGGGTTGGAGTTTTTTTTTTTTTTTGCCCCAGCATGCTTTATTTTACAATTATGCAAATGAAAGTGCATTTGCCATTTAGCTAACCATTTCCCCAGTTTAATGAAATCCTTCTGGAACTCTTTATGGACACTCTTGCATTTTACCACTCTGAATGGTTTAGTATCGCCCACAAATTTAGACAGTTCACCCTGAATCAAGAACTGTTCTAAATATGTTAAAAACTCAAATCTTTGAGAGACTCGGTTTATTATCCTCCATTTAGAAATGTGTCCATTTTATTGTATCCTTTGCTCTTCTAAAACCAGTTTTTAAAAAGGCAGCAACTATTGACAAGTAATTTTTGTGAAAAACCTTTTGAAAATCTAAGTGTTGACGGGTCACTTCCATCCTGTTGAAAAGCAGGATATATCTTTGCCAATTCTTTAACAAGGCTTGTTCCTCCATATTCATAGGTTGTTTATTTTTATTTTTATTTAAAAAAACTGTACCCATTTTCAGAAAATAGATGTTAAACTAATTGGCCTATAATCTGCAGGATGTCCTGTTACCTGATCCTTATAATTGCTCAAATTTTATATTTTGAGTTTTTTAATTAGCTCTCATCATTATGCAATGTAACCTCTCAAATTGTTCTATAATATATTCTCTTCTTACTGCAGTTCAGATATTTGGTTGCTTTCTCCTTGAAAAAAGTCAGTCCAGACTCAGGTATCTATCTGCCCTTTAACCTCTGTGCTTGCTTGATTATTTCCTATTATATTTGTCCACTTGGCTGGCATATTCATTTCTTTTAGAATGTGCAGGTCATTGAATTTGCTAGTTTTTGCTATGCTTTTTTTTTTGCTAAAATTTAGCGGCTTCTGTTCAAGCATCTGTAAACACAGAGACAAAGAATTCATTCAGCTTCTTGGTAATTACCATGTCCTCTCTGAGGATATATTTCCTTCCTTTATCATTTAATGTCTGACTGCCTCCCTAGTTTTGTTTTGTTTTTGCTTCAGATACATCTAAAGATCATCTTATTTTCCCCCCTTCCCTTTTTTTGTCATATACCTTTTAAATGCTTCCTCTTCTTTCTCCTTATCTCATTTGCACATTTTCTGTCTGTTCCAAGCCAATGGAATGTTAGATGAAGTTATGTAAAGTTTTGAACTTGTCTATCCATCCATCTGTCCACAGCATAACTTTCCAGAAGATGAACAGAATGGGTTAAAATCCAGATAGAATTTAAACCAGAACTGTTCCTGTTAAGTATATTAAGACCTAACTACGGCAAAGAAAATGATTATTTAATATTACATGTATTGATAGCTGCAAGAATAGTATTCGCCCAATTTTGGGAAAATGAAAACCTACCATCAGACCAGATTATAATTTTGAAAATCCTAGATTGTGCAGAAATGGACAGATTAACGTTAGAGATGAAGGAGAAAGAGGATTCAATCTTCTATAAAACCTGGGGAAAATCTTAATCAGTGGGTTGAAACACATTAGAATAAGAAGAGATTTTAGAGTTTTACTATATTAAGTATTAAGCTTGATGATTGGAAATAGTTGCTATGCTATCAACTATGTTAATTATTTAAAGGCATATTACTGTTTTACTAAAAGTCAGTTGTAACTATACCGATTTATTCTTATAAATGTCTAGTATTATATAAACAATAATACTCAATATGAAGACCCGAATGACAGCTTGTTCGCTGAATCACGTATTTACTGTAGCTATCCACACCCTGTCCCCTTTATCCCGATTTCCCTGTACCCGCCCTGACCCCACCTTTTCCCTACCCATATAAAATCTAATAAAATATATTTTTTTAAAAAATGTGCTATGGTGAAAAAAAAAGATTATAACAGAAGAAAAAAATCCGCTTGAAAACGAGCTGGATCCAGCTAGAGATGTGGAGAAATACATTCCAGGGGAAAAAAAAAAAATCCTACTTGGGAATTGGGTAGCTGCTTCTTCTTGGTCATGTAATCCAGATCTAAAACTCTACAGTCCATCCCAAAGCAAACATACATAGAAATATGCAATATTGCAATCCAAGAACAGCAGAAACACACACACACACACACACACACACACCATCTTGTAACATGGAATAAATAATAGACACTTTTTATGGCCACTGCTGGTGAAGAAGTTAGAAAGAATTCCAGAAGTCAGTCTTTGCATGCTTCTCCTATCAATTTCTCCTTGTTTCCTTTCTTTGCCTCTAAATTTTCATAGCTTCATGCATACTGCTAGAAAGGCTGGCCTCTTTGTAGATTTGGCTGCTATATTTTTATTCTGCCGAAGACTTTCTAGATTTCTGGTTTTCTAGTTTTTTTGAGATTATGGAGAGATGTGGCTTTCTTAATTTTTTTCTTCTAGTTTCATTTTTGAGAGGTTCCTCTCTTTTGTAATCAAAGGTAACTCTGAGCCTGCTGGCGGTTTCCCATTTGTTTGTATGTTAAATATACACTAGCATTACGGTTATTGTATCTTCTTATTTCTGCAACTATTATATCATGCAGCAGATCATGGTTGCTACTTAGGATTAAGACTAGGGTTGTTTCTCCTTGGTCAGTTCTAAGATCGGTTGTTCTAAGACAGAATTATTTAGGATATATAGAAATCATGACTTGAAAATGTAGCCAGTCTATGTGAAGGAATTCATCATTATTACAAGAATGTCTCTTTTGCATGCTCCCCTGATTTATTTAAATATCTCAAAATTGTCCTTAGTATTTTGATACCATACCTATGAATCTATCCCTAGATCTAATTTACACTTGAGATCAGAGAATTGCTGGAATAGTTCATTGAATGTTTTTCCCCTCAGGAATATTATGTACAAGGAACAAGTATAAAACTATAGTTAGAAAATCATCACTATGAATTTGTTTTAACATTGCATACTTTGCTAAGAAGGGGAGAAGATGCAATTACTTTCACCAAAAGTATTTATACAACTACTACTTTAAAGTTTTAAGACTATAAAAATCAGTCCAGCACTGATTACAATAATAAGAATATTGTAGATACCTATGACATTTAAAGCAGAGAGCTCAGCTATGAAGCAATCCTGCTTGAATTTGAATTTCTGTGGGCAAAATCCAGATAGAGCCTGCTATGAGTAGAACCACTCTCTCTATTCAGCTTGCCTTTTAGTTATCTTCCACCACAACTATACTGTTCCCCTTAGAGCAGTGGTTCTCAACCTTCCTAATGCCGCGACCCTTTAATACAGTTCCTCATGTTGTGGTGACCCCCAACCATAAAATTATTTTCGTTGCTACTTCATAACTGTAATTTTGCTACTGTTATGAATTGTAATGTAAATATCTGATATGCAGGGTGTATTTTCATTGTTACGAATTGAACATAATTAAAGCATAGTGATTAATCACAAACACAATATAGCAATGCTTGCTGGAGAAGCTTACTCTTCCTTGCTCAAAAATGTTGAGAGGGAAGGAAGGGGAAGGAAGGAAGATTGAAGGGGAAACGAAGGAGATGGAGAAGAAAGGAGATTGAAGGGGAAGGAAGGAAGAAAGGAAGGAAGGGAGGGAGGAAGGAAGGAAGGAAGGAAGGAAGGAAGGAAGGAAGGAAGGAGAGAGAGATTGAAGGGGAAAGGAAGGAGATGGAGAAGGAAGGAAGGAAGATTGAAGGGGAAAGGAAGGAGATTGAAGGGGAAAGGAAGGAGATTGAAGGGGGAAGGAAGGAAGGAGAGAGAGATTGAAGGGGGGAGGCACTGCCAAGGAC